GTTGTTCAAAGTGATGGTGATATAGATGGGGATGTTAATAGTAGAATTAAGTTGGTTGGTTGAAGTGGAGGAATGCTTCGGGTCTTTTGTGTGATAGAAAAGTACCGCTTAGACTGAAAAGAAAATTTTATAAGACGGTGGTGAGACCTGCAATGCTCTATGGCGCTGAATGTTAGCCTTTAAAAGAGAAGCATAATAATAAGTTAAGTGTTGCCGAGATGAGAATGATTAGGTGGATGAGTGGCTTTACACTTAGAGACAAAATGCGAAATGAATATATTCGCGATAGGGTTGGTGTAGCTCCTGTGACGGACAAAATTACAGAAAGTCGTCTTAGATGGTTTGGTCACATTTAACGTCCACCATCTGATGATCCGATTAGGAGAGTAGATGTTTTAGATTCGACTTGTGTTAAGAAAGGCAGAGGTAGACCTAGGAAGACTTGGGCTTACTGTATTAAAAATGTTCTTAATTTACTAGAACTAAATGAAAATATGACACTAAATAGAACGCAATGGAGAAAAAGGATTCATGTAGCCGACCCCATGTAGTGGGATTAAGGCTTTGTTGTTGTTGTTTGTTGTAAAGAACCAAAATATTTGGGTCAAATACTTTAAAATCTGATTATGAGATAATCTTAATTCTTTCTTCAAGAAACTTATGTTGAAGCAATGTGCTTAGGCACAAATCCAACAATGATAAGAATGCTTAGATGCAAGCTCAAAATGGACTCAAATCAAATACTTGAAGGCAAAATTGAAAACTTCATGAAATCATTTGAGGGATCAAACATCCTTCAAATTGTGTTAAAACGAGAGACCTCGAGAAGAAAAATCCAACAAATCTAAAGATAATCAATTTGAGTTCATAAAAGCAATAAGATGTTAAAAACCATTAAATGATCAATGGGGGTACAATTCAAATCGTTCAATGAAGCGACCAAGCTGTTAGTATAAATGGCAAGGATACTGCTCCAAAAATTTATAAATGACATCTAAGGAGCTAGCAAGATAAGGCCCACGAGTAGACGAGATACATCCACCCATGAAATCAAGGTGGGAGGGAAAGCCACGATGAGCTCTCGCTAAGGACCGAGATGGACACAAAGAGGTCCATCTGAAAGGAAGAGCTCGTTGGCTGGCAAAACAAATGCTCTCTTGAAGTCCTTAAGATGAAGGGCTAGACTTCTTAATGTGGCATCTGGGAAACTCCTGAGATGAAACTGGTTATACGGAGAGTAAAGTAAAAGAGTCTGTCACGTAAGTAGGTTCCGCCAAAGAGGAACATGGAGCACATAAAACACAGCATTTGAGGGATAGGGTTGGTGTAACTGTGCGGAGAGGGCAAAATTGCACTATAGGCGATGAGAAATATAGATTATATATGGAAGTTTAATCTTGATTATAGATTGAAATTCTTAGCAAAGGGATATATAATGTTGAAGGATCGTAGGATCAAGAAGGGCAAGATAAGAAAAAATTAGAGGCCACGAATTCCTTGTTTATATGGAAATACCTCTTCTATATTTAAAAAAAAAAAGGGAAGACAAAGCCCACAGATTGCTCCCTTGGCATTAATCAACAATTCCTAAATGATCAAACGGTGGATAGCTAAATGCAATTTTTGTGTTTGTTATGGTAATTAGTTATTCCTTCTTTTCTTTCTGTGTTGTTTTTTTATATAAATCCCATTGAAATAAAGAATACTCCAAGCTTTCTTAGTTACTTTCTTCTTTTTCTACATAAAATAAAGAGGAAGACATAGGTGTCCTTTCCTTCACCGAAAATGAGATCATGTCTGAACAGGTTATCACTCCTTGTGTTTATCCTTCCTTTCTAAAAGTGGAAGGAAGGTACTATAGGCATTCAAGGAGCCAAGATAATGTTGCAGTGGTCAGCAAGGATTTGAAACCATGAGGGGCATCTTGACTGTCCCCCACTCTAGGGCATTGAGCAAGATAAAAGTAGCAGAATAGCTTGTTAGGAGCATTTATTATGACAAGGATATTAAGAATGTGATGAATCAATATAAAAATGGACAAGTTAAGCCGTTAGAGTGGTAGAATGGGTGACGTGTCAAGAAATGCACATCTTCAACTTTGATTGGATGACTCAAAATACCTCAATAGACCTATGAAAACCTGATGGAGATCAACAAGTCCACCAAACCGCTAAAAAGTTTGAAAGGTGGGTGGAGATGATTACAATGAATGAAAGTTAGTTGCCAGCTGACCAAAAAGGCTGAGTAATTGATGGAATGCAAACCTGCGAAGGAAGCCAAGAAGCCAAAAATCTAAGATCATAATAATATGAGTTCTTGGCAAAGCCGCCTCAAAAGTCTAGGTAAAATGAAATAGCTAGGCGAAGGCGACTTGCTAATTTTAAGGAGCAGCATTAATTGCAGTCAATACACAAGTGTCTGGCAAAGACATTGGATATGAATCGCCCAAAAGCAGAACTTCTGGGTGAACCCTTTTTAAAAAAGGTGAAAGTCAGCCAATAAAGATCTCAATCATCGAGTTTTGTTAGATGAAAAACTAGTTAAGGAGGCTAGGTTTGTGAAATCCAACGCCCATTTTCATGGTCATTCGATCTCCTCTGCTACAATGAGAGTGGCCAAGGCAACCGCCTGATGTCCCTCAAGCACTAAAGTCCTCAATAACAGTCACCCAAAACCTGGCAAGGTGTAATGTTCAACATTGGTCGACCATAGCCAACAGCTGACAGGTGCATGCTCCCATAGATTGTCTTATGATGCATATGACTGACTAAAATTTGCAGCCACTAACAACTAATGCCAATTATACCAGTTCCTTGATTTCTCTCCTAAGAGGAGGAAAACCAAGTTGACCACATAAGATTACCAAACCACCTACATTCCTAATTATTTATCATCTGACTTGTATAAATAAACGATTTCCGATAATTTCTAGTCACTGATGTCTGATGTTTATCTTTTCAATCACCTAGTCTCTCTTACAATTAAAAGAACGAACGCTAAAGCTGAATTACCATTGTCTTTTGAAAAGTTACACTCCCGCAATAATCATTACATGTTTCACATTTTATGTCCTATGTTATATTACTGACACAAGAGCGTCTCATAAGTCATTGAAGATCCCGTGGCCCAATCAAAAAAAAATTACGACACCATAATGCAAGACGGGAGATTGTTCCGCTGTTTGGGATTCTTCTATAGTTCCGTGACATGCAGATCTCACGATAAAGGGAGTAAAAATCCCGAGAAATCCTTCTTTTATTTATTTCTTATTTGTAGCAAGTTACTTTTTTTTTTGGTTCTTTCATATTCCTCTATTTTCTAATCAGGTTATTTGCTTTTAGAGAACTATTTATATATTATTTTGTTGGTTTAGCAGGCCTTTGGCTTTGTTATGTTACTTGGAGATGTTTTCTCCTAGATTTATCTATCGGAGTATTGTAACCTTAGATTTCATTCAAGTGATTGTGTCTAGAACGTGATAAGATTTAGGCAGTGATTTCTCCCGGATGTTCAGAGGCCCCCTGCGGCATTGAACTTGATGTCTACTATCTTTAACAGCAGAAACCTGCTGTTTCAGCGGAATAACATGTTTTTTCCACGTCTGTACACACCGTAATTCAACCACCATTGATCCTTCCACTCACATAATAAATTCTACAACTTCCCTAAAGCCTTTTTGTGCTTTATCACACCTTCTCGGAGCCCTAGAACGATATCATCCGGAATCAGAGCCCGTCAAACCCTAAATTTTTAAGGGTATTCATTTTTATGTCAATCCAAAATTCAAAAAAAAAAAAAAAAATTCAACCATACCCAAATCATTTTCAACCATACCCAAATCCATTCCGACAACAAATCCTAGCCATAAAACTAAATTTTAAAATCCAAAATTTTCACATCTATCAAAATTTCACCCCGAAACCTACCACCAAAACTTAAGCTCCGACAAACCTTGATTTACAATCCTACATCCACCGGAAATCTGACGGGGAGGAAAGGGTGTCATGTTTCCATGAAATAACCCTCAACGGAATGTCCAAGAACTTACTATGAAGGAGATACAACAAGAAATTATCCAATTGCAGCAAATGCTTGCCGCCTTTGAGAGGAGACAATCAGGTGAAGTCACTCATATTAACAACAGTGACTCGCCATGTTGAGAGAAGTAAGAGAATCCCTTATACCAGATAATTACAATGAGGAAGAACTAATAACTCAACAATTTGACATAGAATAATAGAGAAAAATCCAAGATCTTGAAGTAAAGATGGATTTACCAAACTT